AGCCCGGAGCAAGGCCGCGGGGGCGGGGGACCCCGCCGCCTGTGCGGCTTTGCTCCGGGGCAAAGGAGCAAAGCCGCACGGGCAGCGGGGTCTGCCGCCTGTGCAGCTTTGCTCGGGTCTCCCTGCTGTGCTGGGGAGTCCCCCCCCCAGCACACGAGGGAGACCCGGAGCAGCTTTTCTCGCCCCGGAGGACGCGCTCGTGGGACCGCTGCGCTCTGGGAGGTCCTGCCGCCCGCGAGCTCCGGGACGAGAAAAGCCCCGTTCGTAAGTGCGGATCCAACATAAGTCGGATCCGCGTAAGTCAGGGACTGCCTGTACTTCCTATTAGCTGTAAGTTTGCTTTGGAATCATGAAATCCTGAAGACTTCACTCAAGTTTTACTCCGAGTAAATTCAATGTGTATTTTGTGTAGGTAACATTTCTGGATTTGACCCATGAAAATTAAGGATGGAAAAGATAGTTTTGTGGTCAGGAAAAGCTAAATAAGGTCCGAGCCATGTGTATTTCCCATTGAGATGGGTGTTCCAGGTGCTAAGTACTTCTTGGATCTGATTCATCGCCTCCCATGATAAAACCCATTGAAAGAGGCTTTCTGGGAGATAATCTCAGTGATGATAGTTTTTCAACAATTCTATTACATCTAACTGGGGTAGAAATTCTCTATCCTGCAGAAAAGGGAGCCTGTCTTCAAACTGTGTGGAGGCTCAGGGATCCATGCTGAAGTCCTGCACTGTTGCATTTGTTCTCATCCTTAGTAGTCATGCTGTGCACTTTCCAGCTCCCTGTTGCCATGAGAGTAGTTGTCTGAGGTCGTGTTGAGGTACCTTAAAAAGGGGGTAGTCACACACGTGGAAAGGCCTCTTGTTGTGAGGATCTTGGGGACACTGATGCAGAGTAAAATTCATCTGTTTGCTTGTTTCCAGTGCAGAATTGTTCTCTGCAGTGTACTCTTGAATGATTTAGTAGAACCCTGGAAATTTTACATGGGAAAGATATGAGCGGCAGGGGGATTGAAAATACAAGTTGTCTGAGTCTTACAAATACGATTATCAAGCTATTTCCCAGGTTTTTTAATAAATTTTCTCTCACTGCCACTGAACTGTAATGGGTATGTGACACCAGTAAGTGGGTTAATTTTTGAAATTGGGAGTTATGCCACTGACTTCAATGGGACAAAACCATTGATTTCAAAGGAATTATTCACAGAGTCAAATACTACTCAGGTTGAGTGAAGTTGACAGAATCTGGCTTGTAATGCCTTTTAATTGCATTCTAACACTTCTAAATGTAAGGGTTTTTTTTTAAATAAAAACAGAACCATCTGATCAGGTCTAGTTCTGATCAGGTTTTGTTCTTTCTTTAGCTAGACTAGTAAAACTCAGAAGGGCATTTGGCCTGACTTGTTTTTTTATTGAAATTTGCCATATTGCGAGATACATAATCTCAGAATAGATTACATGAATTGCTGTCACAATCCAAAATTCTTTTTGGAAAATGTAATTATGACAGTGTTTAGAAAGGACATCTTTTTAAACAGTCCTTACCTTTTTGTTTGACCAGATTTGGATTTAAAGCCACAGGTAAAATTGCCTGGCATCAATTTTTACAGAAGTTTCAGAACCCTGTGATATATGAAAATAGACAGATAATTCCTATAAGAAAAAACCACAGGTAAGTAGGAGATTTTTGTTGTTGTTGTTCAAGGTGAATTTGAACTTGATGGAAAATTATGTTTAGTGAAATAATTGTTGATTACATTTACTTCAAGTAATATTCATCTTATCTATATAAATGTCTAAGTATATTTTTGAATCCTATTAAGTTCTTGGACTTAATAAGTTTATATTTTCTCCCTACACTGAAGAGTAAGAAGATGAGAGATGAGAACCTTATGTCCACCATGTTTTCCTGTTGTAGGGTAAACCCAATCAGAGTAATGGATGAAGCTTTCTCAAGTGACAGGGTTCTTCTAAAGCTGCGCAGACACATCCAAAGTGCATATCCATCTCTGAAGCAGGCATTTCTCATGATTGATACAGTAAGAGACTTTATTTTTTACCCTTACAATGCTGAGACTCTGTGCATGAGTTAACACATTCACAGACTGATGGAGTTTTTAACCTCTTGAGCTACCCAGCAACCTCTTGACAAGTACCCAACAACCTCTCAGATCCTAACCCTCCTGCCAAGCAAGTCTTTCCTTTCATCTGGTTTCTTCACCCTTTCCCAAACATCTTGTCCCATCCCCAAAATCGCTTTGAGGTACTGCTGCCTTCTCTTGCCTTCTGTCCTCCACCCTAGTACAAATGTCATGGCTACTTACATTCATAGCAAGTGCTGAAACAAATGTGCTTTATCCAGACTCAAGACATGACCCAACTGTCATTTCCCTCTTGCTACCTCAGATCAGCAGAGACTGCCCTCCCATGTGACTCCTTCCTGCTCCCACCCCAACTTTGTCCTAGGTTCTGTCTCCACTCCACTCCTTCCCCAAAATCCCTGCCCCAGTGAGCGTGGGGAACAGTTTCACCCCTTCCCCTAAGCCACCTCCCTTGAGTGATGTGGCTGGGAGCCAGGAGAGTAGAGTGGGCTTGAGTTGCTCCACTTCCTACTGTTGATGAGTGTGGGGGACCCAACTCCTGCTGCTGGCACCAGGCCCCCTGCTAATCTCCTGGGTCACGTAGTTAGGGAGAGGTGGATTGGGAGAGGTGCAGTTCTATAAGGACAGCTCTGTTCTTTATGTTATCTGCTGACCTCTTGTTATTAGGGGCATGTGACCCTTCATCACCCTTTCCTCAACATGTCACCCCTGTCTCTGGTCAAGAGTCTGACTTTGCCTCTCCCAAGTAGCACAGCTGTGAATATGCCAAGGGATGTAGGCTGTGCCAGATACAAGGGGATACCTGAGAATGAGGAAACTGGGAGGTAGATTGTGGCTCAGTCATAATCTGCTTCCTAGGCTGCTCCTGGGGGCAGCACAACAGACTTGTACTCAGGGCTCATGGCAAAGCCATGACTGAGCTCCAAATAAGACATCAGGAATGGTAATGTACACAAACATGTAGTTTGGGGGAACATTTTTAACCTACCTGGTAATGGATTTGAAAGTAGCCATCCTTTTATAAAAGAATTTCAAAACCTGATTACAAAGGGAGACAGCTGAACTGGAGTTCATTTGCAAATTCACTGCTATCAACTTAAGATCAAATAAGGATCTTAACTGGTTAATGCACTCCACTCCAATTCATATGAGGAGGGGGCATTAAGACGTTGAAATAAGTGTAATTTTTAGTGCCACACCACTCAGTCTTCCCTCAATCCATCAAGACCCACTGTGCTACTTACTCTCTTTGGGTATGTCTACACTACCCCGCTAGTTCGAACTAGCGGGGTAATGTATGCATACCGAACTTGCTAATGAAGCCCGGGATTTGAATTTCCCGGGCTTCATTAGCATAAAGCCGGCGCCGCCATTTTTAAAAGCCGGCTAGTGCGAACCCCGTGCCGCGCGGCTACACGCGGTACGGGCTAGATAGTTCGAACTACGTAGCCATTCCGAACTATCTGTACTCCTCGTTCCTCGTTCGCATGGGCTTCATTAGCAAGTTCGGTATGCATACATTACCCCGCTAGTTCGAACTAGCGGGGTAGTGTAGACATACCCTAAATTACCTCAGGACTTTTCATTGTTTTTGCAGATACAGACTAACATGGTGTATTGCTCTGAGACATGATCTTCAAGTCTTTTTCAGAGTAACTGTTTCCCTTGATCCAGTTCCCCATCTTATATGCGTGGTCTGCATTTTTTGTTCTTACACGCATGATTTTACATTTAGCTGCATTGAAACACATTGTTTGCTTGTGCCCAGCTTATCAAGTGATTTAGATATCTATATCTCTAATTTACTACTCCCCCAATCTTTGTGTTATCTCTGAACTTATCAGTGAGTGATTTTGTTTTCTTCTGGGTCATTGGTAAAAATATTACGTAACTTAGGGCCAACAGCCAATTCCTTGCAGGGCCCTACTAGAAGCACAGTGATTCCCCATTTATATTTACATCTTAAAATATGTTAGTTAGATAATTTTTAATCAATTTAATGTGTGCCATATTCAATTCTGTATCATTCTAGTTTCTTAATCAAAATGTCATAAAATAGATATCTAATTCACTTGACAAGGTCTATTTTTCCAAACATCCATCTTGACTGGCATTAATTATATTACTCTACTTTAATTCTTCATTAATCAAGTTCCATATAGGAGGGAAATATGACATCCAGGGGGCTAAATTGTCCTCTCCCCTGTGAAAAGCCACAGATGAAAATGTTTTTATTTTATTTTTTATTTTCTTAGTATAATTCATTTTTTGATATTTGGTGATGGAAACTCTCATTATATTTATTATATTTACTCTACATAATTCTACGCTCAGTTGAGTTATATTTTATCGTGTTATTCATTTTCATCTTGTAAACTTATGTACAACTAAATTCCATAAATTGTAGTATATTTCTATTTCAGAACATTTTTAGCATGCTGCTGTTCTTTGTTAATCTCCACATAGTTTGTTAGTTTTTACTATTGATTGTCCTCCACGTCCCAGTTTCTGAAAGCATTGCTAAATGCTGATTTCCACCACAGACCTTCCAGTGTTTTCATGTGGATGCATTTATTGTGTGGATACATTTAAAAATTCAATCTGGGAGCTTTCATGAGCATTACTTTTATTTGTAAAACTGGGCAAGCAGTGCAATCTGAGTGTAGTTGTTTCCTAAATAATGTTCCCTGAAAACATCAAAGCCCAAGAAAAGGCACTAAAGTGTTTTCTAGCCACCCATGAAATCTGATGGTCTATGGAAATTGTAAACCTCTCCAAGTGCTCCTGAAGTTGTTATAGGTTCAAAGGAACTATAGCTAGCTCCAAAATTACATTGTAATCCTGCAAAGATTTGTGTACACAGCTACTGTTACACACACAGGAGACATTCCATTGATTTTGATTTTGACTGTCATTGACATTAAAGATATCATAAATGTTTGTAGACCAAACTATTCTGGAAAATATTTCAAAGAAGTTTGGAAAAATTCACAAATTGAAATATGCAACTTCTCAAATTTCTCAATGGCCTTGTCCTATTATTCCCAAACTTAAGTAAATATCCCTCTGGCATGTGACCTAACATGAGAAGTAATAGACAGAATTATTGTATTTTAGCAAAATGAGGGAAGAGATCAAAGTCAGTATGATAATGTAAAGCAGGGGTGGGGAGCCTTTTTTCAGGGTTGGGGGCCACTGACCCACAGAAAAATCAGTTGGGGGCCGCACACAAGTGAGAAGCAAAAAAAGAAAAAAACAAACCCTCACTGATGTGGCCCCCGACTGAGAAGGTAAAAGACACTCCCCACATTCCCCTCACATACCAGAGCCCAGCGAGGCCTAGGTTAGCAGATTTGGTGTGCTCCAGCTTCACGGGGAGGTTGCAGAATGGCTGGAGTGCCAGCATGAGCTCCCCAATGCTGGGAGGAGCCCTGAGCCTCAGGTGCCGGATCTAAGCAAGCCAGGAGCCACATCCGCACCCCAGGCCTTACTTTCCCCACCCCTGATATAAAGTAAGTTGAACCTCAACTATAGTAAAAAAACCATGGTCTGGTAGCACTTTATAGACTAACGAAACATGTAGATGGTATCATGAGCTTTGGTGGGCACAGCCCACTTCTTCAGATGACTGAAGTTATGAGTTTAGGATGTGCTGGTCATCTGAAGAAGTGGGCTGTGCCCACCAAAGCTCATGATACCATCTACATGTTTCGTTAGTCTATAAAGTGCTACCAGACCATTTGTTGTTTTTTTTCTGTAACAGACTCATTTGGCTACCCCTGAAGCTTCTCAACTATAGTATCATTATCACATCCCCATGCTATACAATATAAATAGAAAATGTGTAACTTGTAAAACATTTCTTGTTTGTGGTCTATAGTATGACATGTGTATAATGTCAGACCTGTAAGATTGACCAGGAACGCTCCATTGCATCACTCACTTTATTTACAGCAATATTTTAATCTGATTTTTTTTAACAGAAACAGGAGTGCTTTTTTATGTCTAGCTCTAGAATGAATGCACTCTTAATAAAGAATTGTCAGTCGAGTCTTACCAATTCTATGGCTTTCATGTTGTACTGAACTATGTTAAAAAAAGCATTCTTGTCATTTTTGATGGAATGTCATGATATAGACAATCCATACACTCGGCTGTGTGATCGTCCCTTTAGTGGACAGATGGAATTTTTTATTACTTTGATTTGCTACAGATTGCTCTTCTTAAATTGTAGAGTCTATATTTTTGGATTGGATGAGCAAATAATAGACTGAAAAAATTAAAGCTTTCAGTCTGGTTGACACAAGCAAAATGAGCACTGGGCATATCTTCAGAAGTACTGCTGGTATTTTTTATTACAAATTTTATATAGATGATATATCACAATTCCTTTCTAATATAATTACATAAAAATTGCTCTTGCCCGTTCTGCAGTGTAAGTTATACACACACACACACTCTATAGGGTTGTATTTGTATGTACACACACAATCACCACAAAAGAAAGAATTCTTCTAGCAATTTACAAAAGAAGAGAGTTTAGTTTCCTACATAGCAGTAAATAGTAATAACATATGCCAGCATTACGGCCCTGATTCGCCAAAGCACTTAAGAACATGTTTAAGTCCCACAGAACTCAAGCACATGCTTATGTGCTTTATTGTACTGGTCATTAGTGAATGTGACATCAGAAAGAGAACTCTGGCTGCAGGAGGAACAGCTTCATCCTTAACATCCCAAACTGTTACACCTATAGAGATACGTACAGATTCTCAGCCAATGTAAATCAGTGTAGCACGAGTGAGCTCATTGGAGCTATGCTGTTTTATGCCAGGTGACAATCTAGCTCATAAACAAAAACACTTCATAGATTTTAGGAGTCAAAGAAATAACCAGAAAGTTCACAGATTGAAGGCTAATGTAACACATATTATTTTTTCAATATTATCAAAGCAATGACTAAAAAACTATCTTTAATCACAGTATCTGTTTAAGCTTCATGAAGAAGATGCTTCTACTTAAAATGGTATAGATTTTCATGTAAAGTAGAACTCATTTTTGTAGCTTCTGTACCAGATTCCTTAACTCATCCACTGAGGTAGATATATTATTAACTTTCTTTCCCATATGATTTAATGCATTGACAATAGTCTCTAAAGAAAATTCATATGGCAGAAAAGCAGTTTAACAAGACCATTATCTTTTGATTACAGAACTTCAAAGTGTTTCCCAAACTAGCTGATAAAGTAAATAATTGCTCATCCTGTATATTACTACAGCCACCCTGGCTCTCTGTAGGGGACTAAAGGGAAACAGAATTTTTCTTAGGGTGAGGTTTATGAACAGCAAAATATTTGTCTAGTTCATAGCCAAGAATGAATCACTAGAGAAACTGTTGGCCATTATTTTTTCGTTTATTGTTCCCAAGAATGTATTCTTTACATTTCTTCTTTTATCCACCAGTTTTTTAAGGGAAGCAAAGTAAAAAAATAAATAAAAGTCCAAGGAAAAATACAAAATTCTAAAATTTAATAGACTGATAAAAACAGATTAACTTGTGTTTAACACTCTCCCTCAGACCTTATGGTGATAATATGTCATGAGGTCTAAAACAAAAATCATGCCTTAACTATAACAATACATAAATATAATAGTACTTTTGTATACGCCCATCCATTGTTTATTTCATTAAATGCTTTAAAAAGTAAAGATTTATGTGAAGGTATGACAGAATGTGGATAAAAAACTGGTGGATGTAAAGTTTATTTATAGCCACCAGTCCTGGCTCTCAGTACAGGCAGTCCCCGAGTTACGCGGATCCGACTTATGTCGGATCCGCAGTTACGAACGGGGCTTTTCTCACCCCGGAGGATGGGAGCGGCGGGACACCCAGATGCGCCGTGGTCCACCGCCCCCGTCCTCCGGGGCGAGAAAAGCTGCTCCCCGTCTCCCTGGTCTGCAGGGAGATGGGGAGCAAAGCCTTGGAGCACGCCCGCAGCGGGACA